AGTCGTTGGGTGCCACTGATGTTAGATACAACTAACGCGACAAGAACAGCAGAACAGAGCGTGAAAGGGTAGATTTTTTGTGGTTTAAAAAGAGCTTATTTTAAAACATCATTACGGAACAAATTCAAGCCTAAGGAGGTTAAATGTTTAAGATAAAAATGTTAAAAAGACAAACAAGCCAACTCCACGAAAATCCAGAGCTGATTTCTTGATTGAGGGCAGAACTGTGGCGGCCATTGGAGAGAAGGAAGCACCAACGTGAATTTGAGGACTGTCAGCCGAGACAGAAAGGAGTGACCTTTGTAGAAAAGGACTGAGATGCTACGTAGGTGGCTGATAGTAAAGGTTTAACTGACTGTGGTTTCTAAATTGGAAGAAAACTTACCATAGTGGAGAACAAGTAGCGCAAATCAACGACTCGCAAACGCTTCTTAAGTAGCTCCTTCTGTGAAAGAGACGCTGATGTGAATGCACGCTTCATCCAATACACTTCCTTGTCAAAAGATTAGAATTTATTTTAACTAATCAATCAAAGTTACCGCGAAATCTCCAGTTACAAATTTCATTTCTCGTTTCTTTTTAATTTCTTGGCACACTTTCAGTTTGGAGCCTAATATGGTGTACCTTAGTGAAAACGGAAAAGGCATTAATAAGCATTTTCCTGCTGGAGCTAGATAAACTTACCTATCTAATGTTACACGCTAAATATCAAGATTACCTTAGTGAAAACGGAAAAGCATTAATAAGTATTTTCCTGCTGGAGCTAGACAAACTTACCTATCTAATGTTACACGCTAAATATCAAGATAAGCTGAATACTAGTACTGAATACTATACTTCATAAAGGGTGATTACATAACATAGGACAGAACATTTCCTGAATTTGGAAAGAAATCGATTTTCTTTTACTTTGTGTTAGCAAAAACAATGAATTTGAAACATGGTTTTGTCCATTGCAGTCTTTACCAATAGTCGTGTTTTAAAAAACAGCCTCCGTCTCAACAAATCAAATTAACGGAGTCAATAGGGCCATTTATGAGAAAAAGTCAACACGTGTCTTACATAATACACATCTTCCTTTGAAATAAGAAACGAGTAGGCTAAGATATAAGACCGTAAGAACCATCGACTGTCAAAGTATTTAGCCCGTGTGGACTAATTGGGGACGCAAATTATCTAAACGTGTCCTTGATAAGACGCGTGTTAGCAAACAAAGAAGAAAACCTCTATAAGACAGTAGCTTTCTTTTTATTTTAACCTGTGCTCCACCACATAAAAAGCTCCCCGGCCGACTGTCTACATAAAAGCGACAAATAATCCAAAATAGATCGGACGGTTGGTGTTTACTGCACTGTGAGCTATTTCGTTCAAAGTTACTCATAATGACCGATCGAGTAATTGTGTTACGTAAAATGAAGACGCCACTGTTTTAACACTCGTGCAATTTATGGCTAAATTAACGCAGAAGCCTAGGCCAAACAGTGTTTGGGAAAGGCAGTGAAAAATAGTGTTGATTCTTATGGAGAGAATCATGCTTAGTGTTAATTCGGACATTAATCTAATTTAAACTAGCTGTCAAGGGTTAAATTTACGCGATTCACGCAAATTCAGAAGGCTGGGTAGGAGCGCAAGGTAACGTTGGTAGGGTTGAAAAAGGTATTTTTATAGCCTATTGCGTTAAAGCAAAAAGAGTTAGAGGGGCGCAACACCGTCTGTGAGCAAAAGAAAAAAAAGTTCTAAACAGCTATTACAAATCGAATAAGTAGGAGTTACAGTGTATGAGTAAATTATATATCCTTACATGAAAAAGATTTGCAATAAATGTATCAGCTAACAGAATAAATACAGGGCTATTCCAATGTATAAAAACAGTTGTGATGACATGTAAGGTAATATATATATATTTAGCCAAGCCTAAAAACGGAGCTCCCGATTTCATTGCAATAATCAGGAGCCCATAGCTCGGAGCGTCTAACTTCCATACTGCTCCTACGCAACGACGTTTCCACAAGTACGTTTATTTTTAGATAAAAAGCCAATCACTAGCAATTGCGTCATCAATGATAAACTTTTAATACGTAACTAGGACAACTCCTTCACATTGAAAAAAACATAGCGGACACACGTGAGGAATCTTCAGAGGAGTCTTCTGACAGTACTTCAAGCGACAATTTCAGTATTTACACGGAAACTAGCAGTTCAGAAGAAGATTTGAAAAACCTAGCCAGGACGTCTAGTTCATCGACGACAACGCATAATTCACGCAAAGGGAATTAAATCGAAATCATCTTCGAAATAGCCGACTATGAAAAGGTCCAAGCGAGCTACTAACAGGAATTGACCTCGTGGAACAGTTATTTTTCGCGGGAAAAGCTTATCTAAAAATAAACTCACTTGTAAAAACGCCGTTGCACGAATTTATAGCAGTTGAACGCTCCGGGTTATGGGTTCCTGCAACAATGTAACTTCCGTTTACATTATTTTACAGTAGTTTATATTCTACTTTATATTCTTTACCAGTGGGGTCTTATGACACTTTCAAAATGCCCCCAGGAAGGCTGCATTTTTGGTGCTGAAAGGGCAAAAAATGAGACACCCCCTGTTACTCCAAAACTAAATGTCAGAGGAGTGAGCCAAAGTGCCTTTTGAAATATCTCATCACACCCAACTTCTGTGCCAAGTTTCAGCCAAATCGGTTGACCACAACTTTTGGCCCCTGGAACACTTTCTCAGACAATGACACTTAAGTACACATGTATCATTACAAACTTTGCTAAGTTAGCTGCACTTTGTTTGATTCAGGATCAAGTTCATCTCCTCTAAAAAAAA